ACAGTTGTGATCAAACAGCGAGGTAAGGGCTTCGCGTAAGTCCCGATTTGTCTGCTGAAGCACATCGTCGCGCACATTGTCACAGATGAAGAAACAGTGCACCTCCGTAATGGACCGGTAGAGGGAATTGGCGGCCCGAATGCAAGTCAGCTGAAAGGGTCGAGCCTTCACCGAGCCGTCGTCCTCGAGGAGATTCAGGGTAACCACTCGGTTGGTCACAGTCACTGTCTGTAGACGACAGTAGGGGTATCTAGACAAAAGCAGGAAAAAAAATGGGAGATAAAAGGTTAAACTTGCAAGCGATTTAGCACACAACTAACGAGCATAAATCAAAATAAAATTGGTATATAGGCAAATAGTATTGCTGGCAAAGAAAATGGAGACTGGAAAGGCCATTTCTGGCTTATTGGCCGTCGTCAGCCAGTCATACCTAGACCCACGTGGTGCCCCACCCAAGCTCCGAACTTGCGACCTAAACCGGCAAGCCAATGAGCTCGTTGTTCAATGGTTAAAACATTAGACTCTGATTAAAAATGTCGCGTTCCATTACTGGCAACGCCACATGTTCTGCGTGATAGCTATGTACAAAGAGGAATTAAAAGGTATTTACCTGTATTTCCCTAATAAAACTGAACTGAACTGAACTGAATTCGAGGCTTGGGCGGGGCACCACTTGGGGCTGGATGTTATTGGCTGACGACGGCTAATAAGTCAGAAATGTCCATTCTAGTCTTTCTCGTATTTGCCGACACTACTATCTACCTACACTACCAGCTTTTGCGGCTGGTAGAGCCTCTGTCGTAGCCCGACGCAGAGCGGAACAGGTGAGATCCGTTAGCGATCGTTTAACTTTCATCAAGTAGTAAACTAAAACTCAAGTAAACTAATACTAATAAAACTAAATCCTAGACTAATAAACTAATAAATGAGCTAAACTTAATAATAAATTACAACAAAATAAGCAGTTAGTTATTTATAAAGTAGTCGCCGGCTATTAAGCTCACTGTTAATAAGCCCGCCGCTTATTAAGCCCAATTTGGTCTGGGCCCGAGG